CTACATGGCTTTGAGATTTTAGTCTAGCAAACAAGCTCAGACAGACTCTGCTCATCTTGGCCAAGCGGTTTTCTTAAACTTTATGATAATATTTTCACATTTTGAAATCAGGCTACTTAAATTACAGACTCAAAATCCGCAAGAACATAAGAGGAGAAACTTGAAAAATTGGAATAATTAAATGGAAGCTATTTTTAATTGTGTGTGTAAAAACCTTTTAAATGCCAACTAATCAAATAACGATAAAAAGCTACATAGATGCCAGCATTACAAAATTTATTTTTCCTTATTTTTGCGACCAAGTAAAATATACTTAATTTTATTCTTTTTCGTGAATCACTGCAGTAAGGGTCAGGCAATTAGTTGCATGCCAGAGGTGGTAAGTTTATGACCATTTTAAAAGGCTAGGACATTGAACATAAATACACCACAATAGTTCTGTGAGAGAACAGCAGTGACACTGCACATCTTTCTAAAGGCATGCTGACTGCAAGAGGACTCAAACTAACATGGAGAGTATTTCAGCCATCTGAATAAATTTATGGTATCTGTGGTACATACCATTTCAAGCAAGGACATATTCTCTGCCCTAGCTAACTTAGTATCTGAATCAAAGAATGTTAGTTGATTATAGAAGGCAGGCACATTTAAACAAATAAATGTTAATTAATATTAGACTGTGTTATCAATAGACACCAGACTATATGCTATTTTTTATATTTTATTTAAAAACACAAATTAAAAAAAGACCACCACAGCAGGAGTAAACTCTACTAAAGGAGATGAGAGTTCCTTAAGAAAGAAGCCATTTAAGGCATGTACAGTGACTTAAACTAATCCAACAGAAGAGATGATTTTGCATATTTTAAACTGTTCCATGTGGCAATATGCCTCTTCAGCCTCAAGAAATCTGAAATCTTTCCTACGTGATCCTCTGTCCATTTGTTCAGTCTTTGCAGCTATTATTTGCATGCTTCTCTTTCCAATAGTTTAACCTTGGGAATCTGCCTCCTATAAACACACACGTCACCTAGCACTTATGTAGTTATTTCAGATAGCTACAAAATACTAGGTTTTGCAGCACTGCGAATCAAACAATTTTCCTTAATATCCGTTTCCTTTAATTTAATTATAGTTACCATGACATCATTGAGGAGTACCAAACAAAATTCCAGATTAAAAACAAGTATTCTTACTGAAAACTTACAAAGTATAATTACTGCCTAACACACATTTCTTTTTAGTGCATGTTGTAATATCTAAGGGTGCTTACAGAAGTGAAAAAAAACCTGGCAATTTAAAACTCAGTGCGCCCCTCACCAAGCCCAGCGCACGGCCAGAAGAGACAGCACATTAGTTGGCCCTGGCTTGCCCAATATCTGTGTAGATCAGGTGCTTTAGTGGGGCTTTTTTGGCATTTTATCTAAATAGCTGATTGACTCGGCTTTAAATAAAAGTGCCAAAAAGCCCTGCTGAAGCACCCAATTTATACTTATGCTGCGGAGCCAGGTCAAACTAGAGTGCTGCTTCTTCCCATAAAGTGCAATTTTTTGCTTTTTACATCTGTCAGCAGCCTAAGTGACTCTCCGAAGCTGGATTGTATTAGGAAACTGACCCTATATAGAAAGTAAAATGTTGCCAAGAACCTTTTATCCTCCAGTGTTAAAATGTTTTTCTTCATTGCTTCACAAAGTGTGACAAACTAGAAGGGTAAGCGTTTAGCCAATAACCTCCTCCTCAAAAAAGTATATGAATAGGAAGGGCAAAAATACTGAAACAAATGCTTTCAAATGTAACGGACAATCTGCATTGCTGTAGAGGTAGATCTATTTCGGGGGTGGCCAAGAGTTGCTCACCCTGGGAGCCACATCTGATCCCCCATCAAAGTTCAAGAACTGGAGAGCAAACAGGGGTGCTGAGTGACCCGGAGTGGAGTTGACCACCCCCCACCATCCCCACTACCACCAAGCTGCTCCAGCTTTCCCCACAGGGAGCGTGCCCCAGGGGAAGCGGTGTGGCTGCAGCCCTCACCCCAGCAGCCCAATGCCTGAGCTGGCAGTTTTGGAGGGGGAGGAGGAAGGAGAAGGGCAGGCTTGGGGCATGCTCCCAAGTGGGAAAGCTGGAGCAGTGGGAGGTGCAGGGCTGCGCTGTCCCCTGGAGCTGCCTCTGGGAGAAGTGGGCAGGGACTTTGGCCAATTTCCAGAGAGCCGCAAGTATCGTGCCGGAGACCTGCATGCAGCTCGCGAGCCACGGTTTGGCCACTGTGGATCTATTTACTTCCTGTTATTACATATGAGTTTACACATTTTTTTTCCCAATGGGAGGCAGCATTGGAATGGAGCCTTATTATAACCTGTGCTGTTACCATTTACTGCACAGGAAACCACACATCTATGTATTTAAAACTTGCAATGAATAGGGTTTAGTCAAATCCATACTCGGCATCTGAAAAACAGCCAGCCTTTCAGGTCTTTGTGTAGAAGTACTAAGTGGCTTCAGACAGACTCTGTTGTGCAACAGAAGTTGCAGGAAATAAATACAAAAAAAACTTTACAAAAACTGAATAGATTTTTTATGCTAATTTATTTCATACAGAATTTCTCGTATTTGGAAAAGTGGTAGATCTGCACGTAGAAAACTCAAAACTATTTTTTTCTTCCAATCTAGTTTCCAAACTGATCATACGATGTGACAGATCTCAGACAGTTTTCTACACTGATAAAGTGGATTCTATCAGTAGCTTCTGATCAGGAAGTGCTATTTGACTGTGAACTACATGGGGTGACTAGTAATGGTAAGACAAGACCTATTAGGACTGAATCCATCCCAATGGGAGTGTAGTCCAATCACAAGGACCATTTCAAATACAGAAGTGATACATTTGTGAACAGAGATAATCTGTACCATCAATAACTCTTAGCTTCCATTACCAGCATGATAAGCCATCAGGTAGTAACCATCCATGTGAAGAATAAATTCAAAAGCTTTATTCTTGTTGTTGCTTACTGACTGATTCAAAGACTACATCATTGCAGAAAGGATGCAGTGTGTTACACCACAGTAATTCCAGAAGCCAGGGCCTAGTAATTTGGGGTCAGGGCCCACTGCTGAAATCAGGATATGGAGCCCCATTCAAGACATGTCAGAGGCAGCAGGTGAGCAATGGCCGCATTAATCCCTGCAGCTCCCTTACGTTGCTCAGCTCACCATCACTGCCTCTAGGTCCAGATCCAGCCCATGAAGAGCCCTGCAGCCTGCATCTGGCCTTGGGGGCTGGTTGAGTTTGACATCCCTGCTGTAGACCATACATTTAAAAATCATGCAGTTCAGAGAACACGTGTAGAACAATTTTAAGCTTACTAAACTTCTGCATCACATCAAGGCACTGTTAAGATATAAAAGCCTCAATACTGAATGATATCATATCCATAGCTTCTTACCCTTAGGTGACCACCAGTTTACTTTTAGATGTCTATCATTTTGCTGGCATCTAAAATAAGACACAGCTATTTGCCAGAGCGATGGCAAAGATAAATGTACATCATACTACATTACCTTGATTTGAAACAGCTATCAGTGTATATTAATACTTCTCTTAATCACAGGCGCAAAAGAGCAGAACAAAACAGAACTAGTCTTTCAAAATTCTTACAACATATTTAAGCCTCTGAAGTAGTGGGATTGTTTTTTGTTGAGGATATAAAACGTGTCTTAAGCTATGCATTCTAAAATACAAAAAACAAAAAAAACTGCTTCACAGAAACGTTCTGCAAAACTGAGTCTGGGAGATGCACAATCTTTTTTGTTGCTGTTTTCTGAAAGAATCTTTCAAGCTGGCTATTGTGAATAACATGCATCTTGAGCATCCCTGGCAACTGAAGAGTCAACAGTAATCACTTACTGTAAGTTTTGCACATAAATTTGTATTTACAGTGGCAACGTAATGGGGCTTTAGATAGGGCTTCAACTGACACAGTGCACAAAGCTAGCCAAACATAGGGCGGCGTACAGAAGGATTGTTATGGCATCTGAGGTGCCCCAGTCGCAGCAGCCTCGGGACTCACTTGACCAGACTAGTGGCAGCGTATCAAACCTTTAAACACACACAAATCTCAGTGTTCCTGCATATCCTGCATGATGAACTTGAAAAACTGAGTATCTGCAATATTTCAAGTGAATCTTCTAAAGGCAGGGGTGTCAAACATGAAACCCATGGGCCAGATGTGGCCCATGGAGCACTATGAGCCAGCCCCTGGACCTCACACTGACCCATCTGGTGTATGGGCTGATCCAGGTATCACAGACACTGTGTGCAGCACAGGGGGTTGGTTTGGAGGGCATGCACACTGCATGCGGTGCCCAGGCCAGGCCAGCTCTATGCACTGGGTCCAGGACTGGTTTACACTGGGCCATGCCAAAGCCAGTGCACAGGGCCAGTCCAGCAGGCCACAGAACACAGCACAGGCCCCATGTACGGTCCCCTGTGCTGTGTATATCACGTGCTGGCCCTGCTCCAGGGCTCGCTCTGCATGTGATGCATAGCTCTCATGTGGGGCACACGCTGCATGGAACACCCCATCAGAATAGCCCTGTACACTGGCTCTGGCATGCATGGATAACCTGGGGCCCGATTTGGACTAGCCCTGGAACGAACACACAGGGCCAGTCCAGGAGGCTGCTCCACGCAACGTGCGCCCCAATGCCAGCCCTAAACATCACGTGCAGACCAACGCAAGTGGGGCCATTACTTGCTGCATGCAGCATGGGGGACTGGAACTGATGCACGTAGCACCCTGTCCAATCAGCTCAGCATGCTGGCTCCAGTGCAGCCTGATCCAGCCCACAGATCAGCCCAACACCCTTCATCAGGCCTCTGGGGCCAGATGAGTTTGACACCCCTGTTCTAAAGCTATTCAAAAATTAAGTTTAAGCTGAAAAGTTAAATAGAAACAGGATCCTGAACAAAGAGAAAGAATCACTGACTACTCCGACAGTGCTACCTTTAATGTTTTGTAGTAAATGGTCCTGTTGATCTCCAGTGGGAACAGATTTTGCTCTTTTCCAGAACGAGCCCAGTTCACATACCGCAACCAGTTCCCTTTCTTTGGATCGGTGGCATCAACACACATCCACCCCAGGTTTGGGTAATACACCTAAAGAGAAAAAGGAAAAAAAAAAAACAACCAAAAGACATTTACTCCTCTTCAGCAGGCAGAAAAATAATTATCCTGACCACACAGAAATATACTGCAAAGACTTATGGCAGAAAGGAGTATTTTGATAAGCTTATTTATAAGCATTATACCAAGTTAAGTATTTTACTGAAACTTGGCAGATTGCATATTTCCCAGGAGGCTTGGAGAGCAGAAATGTACTCTCCCTCAGTCTCTGCGAAAACTCTGGTTGTTCCCTGCCCCCATCCCCATCCTTCCCGCCATCGATTAATTGGCTTAAGACTTCAGTTTTAATGGCTACCATCCGGACAGACAGAAGAGGTAATATTCCTGACTTCTCTTGGCAGAACTCAAGCAACTTTTGGTTGAGTCAAGATTTGACTTGAGGAAGGCCACTTAAAGATACTAAGGAAAGAGTAGGTGAGCTTTACAAGGAAGCCTTTCAACTGCAGAACTGTACAGTTTACTTCAGGTAATATTGTGCTTGGTGCACTAGAACAAGTAACTAGTAATAACTTGACTGAATTTGTTTATTTGGGCTTGATTTTTCAAAGTTTCTTATTCTGTGCTGGCAAATACTGGAGTTGTACTATTTAATAGTTCCTGTATGTCTGATAGTACTCACAACGAAACTGTTAAAGAACATGCTAAAAAAAGCACCTACTGTTATTACAGAAAAACAGCAGAAGTCAAACTGGAAAAATCAGACTATTTCTGTTTGTACAACAAATTAATGTTTTAATAGCGCATTAGACTTCTCTTCTCCTCCTAGATGAAAGGCAATAAAATTGGCAAGTGTACACATTTTCAGTACCATACCTTGATGCTGTTTTCACTGTGAAATTAAGAAAAAAAAGATACACTGACAAAGCCACAAAAGTTAAAATTAATGTGTGCACAACTGGTACTTTTCTACAACTTGATCTAATGTGCTCATCACTGACTATTTATCACATATGAATCATTCTTCTGGACAAGACAAGATTTCTGCAAAAATATGGATTTCGAGCCTCTCTGGCAAAAGGTTATCTTAAATTAAGCATTTCATGTAATAGTTCAAGCTGAATAGGATTGTATAGTTATGTTTTAAATTAAACCTATAACAGTAATTAAAGCTGCATTAAATTTAAAATTAGCATAAACATTTAACTTTCTTTCAATTTATCAGGTCTCAAAGAACAGTTTCTATTTGAAAATGTTAGATCAATATAGAAATGCATTACGGTGTTTGTTATTCTTATTATTTGATGGAATAGGAAAAGTAACGTTAGAAAAGTTGACCCTTTTAGTTTCACTTGAAACCCACAAGTAAGTAAAGTAGGTTTACTTATTATTGGTCTTCAATGGGTAAATCACATCCTAACATTTAAACATTCACTTGACCTCCTTAATTAAGCTTAGCAAACTACAGGTTTAAAATAGTTTATATTCCAAGTCCCACATGCATTTTTCAGTTTTATTTCCAGGAGAGCTGGTTTGTAACTCCATTTAATCATCTTTTTCATTTCCGAACTGCTTGTAATACAGTCAATATATTGACAAGTGATCAGTGTTGGCCACCAACTTATAAAATATGATTCTTTTCCAAGATGCCACACACCAACCATGTTCTCCATCACAATGAAAAATAGGTGTCTATAAGAGTACTGCTACCCATTCAAATTCAAAGTGGGCAGAACCAGCTATAGAGTTCTTACACATTTTCAAGCACTAACTTAGTAGCTGGTTGGCTTTTTTTTTTTAAGCTGTAAAGTCATTTTTATGGTGTAATAATTACTTTGCATGTATGACCAGTCTAAACTTACTGCATATTTAACTAGTTAATTGTGTAATAGATGTAAGGTGTAGCCTAAGGGCATCCTGAAATGTCAAATGTTCTTTCCTAACCACTGTTTGGCAGTAGGAGACATCTTATTTTTCATGATTTAAAATGTTTTTTCCTACCTCAGTATACATGCATGTAGGCTGAATTATCAGTACTAGGCTGTTCTTATTAGTACTAGGTAACTTTAAAAAAGAAAGGGATGAGTATCTTTTCAAAGTTTGATTATTTAAAGTTTAGTATTTGCTTCTGCTCCTTTCTGTTCCATCTATCAATGTCAGTTTCTGTCTGTAAATGAGTCTCTCTATTAATCCCAACCTCTCTACAGTCTCGTCTTTTTCCACTCTTTGTTCAGTGCTGATACAGTTCCCTAGTGTTAGCAACAGTACAGGGCTATTGTCTACTGAGCAGTTTCAGAAGACAATGGCAAAAATGTCTGCACCTATACAAACACATGGCTTAAGCTGCTACAATAGTCAAAGAGCATTATAAAAATGCTTTTTGGAGAGTAATGCTATACTGCCAGAGAAGAGAGTTCTCTTTTGTTAAGCCTGGTCATGCTCTAGTCTTATTTTCAAAATTATTAATTTGTCTTCTGCCTACAATGATAGAACGGATATGCTAGCTAAAATTATTTTAAAAATGTCTTTGTATATACACAGGATGACAATCTCTCTTTGCTTGCTCTTTTACATTTAGCAAGAAGAGTGGGTTAATTGGTACTACGTTATGTAAGAAGTATATAGCAAAAGACTGATGTGTCTCCAAAGCACCTGTACCAGAAAAGATGCCGACATAACATGTGAGAGAAACAAATAAGTGGATAAAGGGGAGTATGGACGGAATAACGATAAAAGGTTTTAGCACAGACAACGTACACAATTTAGAATCTTAGAAGATGAGGGTTGGAAGGGACCTCAGGAGGTCACATCTAGTCCAACCCCCTGCTCAAAGCAGGACCAGCCCCAACTAGATTATCTCAACCAGGAAATTGTCATTTCCAGCTCATAATTCGTAAATAATGAGCCGCTCATCTTGAAAAAAATCATTGCACATTTCTATGTTTACAATACAACATCTTTAGTTCAAAAAAATGCTTTGAGCAGGATCCAGGGGTGCCTGTTTGCATGCATTTATTTATATAAGAGAAGATTTCCAGCCTATTCTGCAGCTTCAGCAAGTTTCTTTATAAAGCTCAGTCTCTTGCAGACCTGAGGAATGAACTGAAATCCAAACTTCACCTTACGTTTTCCATTTTTGTTGTATGAAACGGCATCATTTTAATTATTTCTGATGTTTAATTTACATACAGTTGTACAGTAATGTTTTCTTCCCAAAATTTGGGATGTCTTTATTTGATGTTACATTTTAAAAATAGATATAAACACAAGGGCGGTTTACTGAAATGTACTTCTGTAGAGTCCATATCATTCTAGTTTGTGGCGAAATAGAAAAGGTATTGCTGACTGGGGGTAAAAATTAGATTTTTCAAATTTTGATGAGCCTTTGTTAATCCTCTAGCCATGCAACAGCTAGAAAGAAATAACATTCCTCATCAAATGTTCCAGCTCAGATTTTGTCAGCTGATTTCTGAGGGCATGCTCATCAGCAGGCCAAATCCTTGAAATAGCAGAGAGTACATAGTTACACCAACTGGAAATATAAATATAAAAAGACCGTAAAAATGATCTGTTCAGTTGAAATGGAAGAGTAGTACAGAGTGCTGTACTAATATGGGACATCTAGCAGTACGGAAAGCATAGTTGAACATAACACCAGATCATTCAACTAAAAGAAACTCCACCCTACCAAATGTAGACCTTTTAAACACTAGGAAACAGAAGAGGGTTAACACCTCTCCAGGGCAGTAAGACTATCAATGATCCCTGATAGACAGGGCCTAGATGGCTCACCAGTGTTGTTTCAAATTCTGGGCTTCCATCACTTTCTGTTCAGCCACTTCTTCCAAGAAAGAAAAGACCCTTCTCCAGCCACTCTAAGTGTACTTTCGAAAAGAAATACACACACAAGGAGGTCTAATGTACACAACTGGTTCAGAAATGCCATTTTGCATTACAGTACTATTATTAATTTTTTTCTTAGGGTAGCTCTGTAAGTCATAACCATATTAAAGGACCACTGTAAAAACAGCAGTAAGCTGCCACATGACATGCTGTGTTACAATTAAGATTCCTGCATCTGAAAATCATCCCAATACCTTGGCAAATTAAGTTGGGTGGCCAACTGTTGCAAATTATAAACTTTTTTAAAACTCCTGAAAAATGCAGATTAAAAATCTGAAACTGAATTTCAGATATATTTATCTATTAGAATAAATAGTTTATTGATGTAAAAGTTCCACTGCATGAATGTCCAGAATTGGACATAGCTGCACTGCAACAGCAGCATGCTCCAGATGGACAGCCCTGAGCACATGCCACCCATCTGCTTCCACTGACTTGCTCCAACCCTGGAAGTATGCCACCAAGACCATTCCAGGGTATTCCTCGGAGGCTGTTCTTCAGGCCTCTGTTTGTACAGTACTCAGTGGTGCCAGTGGAGTAGGTAAGTGGTGTGGAGTGTGCTCAGGAATGTTCCAGCCAGAGCATGCTACCACAATGGCACAGAAGTGCTGCAAGAGAAACAAGTCACTTTAGGTCAATAATTTACTTGATTGGGATTCCATCTTCCTAGTTGTTCTTGTACTAGATCAGTGTCTGAGATACTACAATCTATTGTATCCTGCTTTGCCGTCTTGAGGCATTTGCTGACTTATCTGGCATTCTATTTAAATGCCTTTTGGTTTTTTTTCTTAACTGGACTGCATTTCTGAGAAACTATCATTTTAGGTTCTAGAGAAATCTCCACAAGGGACTGACATTCTGTTTGATGCCTGCATGTGTACACAGAATACTTCACAGCTTGTTTTATTTTATAAGGCTAGTGGTTGGCAGGGATTACAGATACCATTACTATGTTTAAAAAAACAAACAAACCTGTAAATTGTACCTATAGTAAGTCTAATAAACTGTGTGCTACTACCATAGCTTCCCATTCTTACTCCCTTCAGTTTGTTTGTTACTTCTACAAACATGTCGATGCAACAGTTTTACCAGCTTGTATTCTTTGACAGCAGTGTAATTGGCATGTGTATCTATACCTTATAGAAGTGTTTGCATATTGGCGAAGACCAGCAGAGAAGTGCAAGTACAGAGGCAGCCCAATGGTATGCCACTGGATTATTGGATCAAGTGAGGTGCCAAGAGCTTCCCTGAGAGACTGTAAGACTATTGATTTCACTGGGAGTTGATGGTGCTCAACCCCCGCTTCAGAAGTGGGGTGGTTGTAGGGTCAAGCAACAGGAAGCCAAGCCTGATCAGTAAGGAACTTTTACAGGAAGAAGATAATTATTGTTACTATACAAAATGCATACTGGACAATACTTGACATTTAGCTTTGTAATCCCATGTGGTTGCAGTCTGCTATTTGAAGTTTCAATATGTGCATTTTTATAATGGAAATAGTTCTGATCAAAATCTGCATAAATATTGAAAAATTAATCATCAGTTACAAAAGTCATAAAACTGTAGGCTGGATACTTCCATAACCAGCTATTTTCTTACCTCCCACATGTACACATTGCTTTTAACTTGGGATCTTTTTTTCTTATCACCAAGAAATGGTCCAAACTTTTTGCCTTTCAAAATTGACTTTGTTGCCCAAACACCTGAAAAGTTAAAATTCATCATTGCAATTAAGTTACATAAGTTTCTTAGCACCTTTAAATTTCACCAAAGTATTAAATATACAAAATAGAAAAAAATCAAAAGAAAAATAACCACACAAAATATTAATCAGTTTGTAAAACCAACTACACACCCCCAAAAATCTTTACTCAATACACTCATGAATACCTAGAACACACATTTTGAAACTGAATAAACTAGCTTTGAAAAAATGCAGGGAGGAAAAGAACGTTAATCTGATGGAATACAGACAACCTTCACCCTCCATCTTACATGTGTTCAGAATATTTCAAGAACCAAATGATGTGTGTTGCAGATGATGTGGAGCCAAACTTGGACCTTTTAACACCACAGACAGACAGACAGACCCACTGAACTCCAATTAAGCCTGTTTATTTTGAGGCCTTTCTCCTGGTTATGATGTATCCATGGTCCTAATTTTTATGTCTAGAGAAAAAGGTGACCTGCCAGCTCCTCAAGTACAATCAGATCATATTCACAATACCTTCCACTATTATCCTGGTGCCTGTTTTATTTAGTGAGTGAATATGTTGTTAAAGAAATGCTTATGAAATGTTATTTGAAGACAGTTCTAGGGAAAAAGTATTTTCATCTACTTACATTTAAGAATGTCTGTTCCAAAGATGTTACATGGCATTAAAAAAGTGTACCCATTGAGAAAAATTACTGTATTTTCTCAGATCCTACATGCCCCTCAAAATAAAACAGGCACCATACTTTTGCAAGGCAGAATGCACAAACGAGTTTTTCAATGCATTGCCTAGATCTGTTTTTTTCATGGAGAGGCTGTGCTGCAAAACTGCTGCCCCGTCTCTGGGTGGGCAAGCAAGCATTAACCCATTCACAGTCACTAATAACTTAGCAGCAGTTTTTGAGTGCTCAGACAAAAGCTGTAACATGGAAGATATCAAATTCAGACAAAAGCTATTGAGGTCCCTCCCAACTTGACTTTTCTGCAATTTTACTAATGATGTTTCCAAACCACTTTCTCTCAACCCTTCTGTCCTTCATGGGAACTTAGGCAAATTCCATGCAAACAAAATGAACCTTTGCAATGTACAGAAATGTAAGGCTACAAAGGAAAGATACATTTTTGTTTTTGTGAGATTCTGATACATACTTTAGCAACCTCTTTCACCTTTACTATGCCACTGAATATGTAAATCATCCTAGAAATAGAAACTTCCATTTGTCATCTTCTCAACATCTGAAATGATTCAATGAATGGCATTTCTAATTAGACCTTGCTTATTTTTTCAGCAATGTAGTTCCTCACCCAAGATATCAATATTTATACTAATGTATATTCTAGGAGTACAGTATCAAAACTCCTCTCCTACTTTAAAGATCACTTATCAATTCAAGATGTGTGCATTATGGAAGCTCTTTGAGGTATCCCATTAGGATCAGGATCCTACTGGAAGACATTATCCCTGCCTCAGAGAGTTTAAACTAACAGTTATTACCAGCCTGCACCTACATTTCAGAATCCCTCACCAATCTCTTAAACTTTCTGCACAAATGCTACAGAACAATCTTTGGTCAGAACTCGCAAGTAAAACTTGCTAACAGGAGACAGGTCAGCCAGTCCACTGTGGATCATATAGGATGGTATTAACAGAAGCTTACTTTCATTCTCCATGTAAGAGTCATGTTATCACAAGGAAAGAGAAATCTACCTTAGTTACTACGTAAGAATACTAATATGAGAAACTGTTTAGTCTAATAGGGTGGAAGTGAACAGGGACTAAGGCAATATAGAAATATAGGAATCATAACATCCAATAAGAATTTGCCAATGACAAGTTACTTTATCAGATGAAAAGGGAGGTTTTAACAGCTATCTAGTTTCCATCAGTGCAAGTCATGCAGTTAAAAAAAACAAAAACAAAAAACCAGGGCCAAAAAAGCCAGGGCTTTTTTCCATTTTACCCCACACTTAAAATAAAAATCTCATTACTATGCAACTGCAGCAGTTGTTCTTTAAAAGGTATTTTTAGGATTCCCACCAGACTGATTGCACATTTTATTTTTAGTCTGAGTAGAAAGGAAAGCTCATTTGGAATGAACTAAAATAAATAATAGTTTGGTTACGTTAAGTCTTCACTTTCCGTAACTACCAGCTTGTGTTATTTTGGAGCTGTAAATTCCCCGCTCCTTTTACAGTTACAGCACTTACCAAGCCGTGTCTTGTCAACAGCAGATGGGAAAAGCCTCACTTCCTCAGGAAGCCCTTTCAGCACATGTTCAGGTACATCAGCCAAGGTCTCAACTGCTCCTGAAGATTCAGTTGTGTTCTAGGAATCAGAAGGCAAAAACATCATAAACATAAGTACAGAAAAATAAACACTCCAGAACATGGACAATCAATCCAAAAATAAGCATTACTAACACAGAATAAAAGTGATCTCCGAAAATGACATTTCAACTAGGGTTTCTCCATGGACATTCAACAAGTAACTTCCATGTTACAGTATGATAGGTTATTTGGTATGTCCATTTCACTGGTTTATACTCTGCCCTTCAATTGATACTACATTTCCTTCTTTGGGACTGAAGAGCCCAAGTAGTTCTCTACAAATCCTGCTTTGTTCCGGCTGTGCCATACTTAAAGTACGAGTTTTGTCTCCAGTCCATATTTGGTAAGCAAATGTAACCTGGGTTTGTTTATATCTTGCAAGTCATTTGTTTGCCCCTGGGTTCTCTTTAAAAAAGAAATTCGGAATTTTCTTTTGTTCCTTGTAGAAACGTAACTACAAATATTTAATTTCTTGTATGCAACTAAACTGATTCTATTCTCCAGTGATAGTATGACAGTCACCTGGTAGCTACAGGTAAAGAAGAAAAAAGTAAAGCATAGGTACATGTGTCCTCTATATGCCTTGAAAAGTGTCCATTACATTTCTTCCAAGATTCAAAATCAAGTAATTTTTCAGTATGCTTTTCTTTCTTCTTCAGGTAAGGTACATCAGCATTTTAGAACTGCACTGCAAACCAACCAGTTTAACAAGTCCACAGAACAGAAATAAAAATAATCAAGTTTAGCTCTTCATAACATGAAGACACCGTGTCAGGTATACCAACCAGAAGCTGGTACAAAATCATATGATGAATACTCAAACCAGGATTCTAAGTATACAGTAAGACCTCTAAATTTGAACACTTGGTCAAGATTCCTGAGCCCAGCTACTTAGTAATAAAACATCTATATACCTCAAACATTAATTTATTTTCACAATAGCCTCATGGAGAGAAAAGCATTATAAGAAAAATCACAACTGAAGTCCCTGGTACAACGAGGAACTCAGCTTAATCACAGTTCATTGCTTAACCACAACCATATCTCCCTCCCTTGCTAAAGGTCAACAAAACCCTTTAAAAAAAAATCTAATTTTTAATTCTCAAGCATTTTTGCTATACCATGGATGCATCTACAAGACACATTAGTGCACAGCAGACTAATTTGCTGCACAATAAAAAGTGTCGTCATCTACATGTACATGGCAGTTAGGGTACAGCAGACAAATTTACTGTGCTGCCAGATAGGATAGTCCCAGCTTCAAGCAGCATCTGGAAGTGCAGTAAATTATTGAGCTTAAATGCACATATAGACAGTGACATCAGGATTAGTTTACTCCAGCTCAAACTGAGCTAGAGTATATTCAGTCACATTAACTGCACGTATAGACGTGCCCAGTATGACCTTCCTATCTGACTTCAGCAACAGAGTCAAATTGTTAACAGGATTATCTCAGAACTGTATTATGCTGCATAACATGCAACAATGCCTAGTGGTCACTTGTGCTGTGGCTAAACTTAATTATTTGCTCCGTTTTTCAAGAGCTGATACCGTGATGTGTAAAACCAAAATTATACAGCTGCCAACATGGTTCCTAGTTTTTAAAGAGTTTGTAGAGACATTACTGCATTGTAATGAGTAGTCTTAATGCCAGCAGAAACCTTTATGGTATTTCAAGTTTCTAGAACATCCCATTGAAGTGCTAGAGTTGTTCCAAACAAGTCTGCAAACCGTTTTGGTTTTTTTTAAAACAAATGTTTGAAATATTGTCCTAACCGTCTTGCAACTGGTAACTGCTATACCACTTTTGCTACAGTTAACAGAGAAAAAAATCCACAAACCAAACCCACCAAATGATCCAATATCAGTCCAAAGGCACACTTTCATTAAATTTTAATCAACTGAAAGATTGCTTAGAGGGAAATTCCATGTGCCACCTTGCCTTATCATAATACAGCTATTAATTAGGGTTTAACAGTGAACTGCTCAGAGAAAAATGCATTTTTTAAATGTTTGTTTCTAATACAAAGATGCTAAATCAAGTAAGGCAAGCAAGTGCATGTTTGAACTTTACTTTTCAGCTCCAGTACATTTTAAATGCAACACAATAGCTATTACTATCATTCTTGATGTAGTAAGTAAATATTTTTATATTGGTCTCTGACCACTTGAGGACATTTGAAAAAAGGTTTCACATTAGACTGTAACTTCAAGTCAATCACCATTTCTACTTGTACAAATTACACAGTGGAAACAGTCAGCATTGAAGTATCTATGAATGTTGGTAAAACTGCTGTGGTAGAATAAGTACATTCAATTCAAATCATCTCTCTACAGATGCTAAAGGGGTTCTTAGTAAGAAAGCCTTACAGTTGCAGAGCACATTTTAATTGCTTAGTTCCTAGTATAAGACACCAAAAGCCACAGGACGTCAGGTACTGTGCAAACTCAGACTCTGCATTTAAATGGATCTAGTTAGCATTAACTACTTATTCACATTAACTAGTCTCAAAGTAGTGCTGCAGCTCTACTTCTTACTTTGTCTTACTTGCTTCAGTGAACATAGACTTCACTTTCCTTTTTTAAAATGTACAGCTTCTGATTCATTTCTCTCATTTGTTTTTGCTGTTAATTTCCAGTTTGGAGCTTGATCCTCTTGCAATTTTAGGCAAACATAAGTCCAAATCACAGATGGCTGTGGGAATTAGCAACACAATTCTTCAGTTGTGATCCATAATGAGACAGCTTCAATTGAAGCTAGTACAAAAATTTTCCTCAACAGGATCAGTTTTAAGCAAGTTCACTGAATCAGCCTCAAACCTCTAGCTTATAATTTATTGTCTTTAAAACTGACAGGGCAAATGACAAACATGTCCCAAATAGGGTTGCCAGCTCTGACTGAAGTTATTCCAGGAGATTTTTTTCCCCCTGCAACATGACGTAATGTCATTCATTGTAGTGTTGAACCCATTCACAATATCAATCTTCCCGACTGCTTTCAATAGTCACTGGGAGATCAATGCCGAGGCCAGTAGACTCCTGGCCAATCCAGGAGAGTTGGCACCCCTAGCCTCAAAACAAATAACACTGCATTTTTGTCTAGATTTAGAAATAGCTTTATATTAATTTAATGAAGATTTCTGCTCGAGATACAATTAGTTAAAAAGAATCAACTGATAATAACGATACTGTGTTGAAATAAGTCTTAACATTTGAGTAATACATTATGCAATGTCATTAGATAAAGATAGCACCTGGTTAGAGCCCTATAATGGCAATATAGAAGACACAAGGCAAGGGCTAGGGACAGAAGGTACATATAAACCAGTATAAGTGATTAGAAACAGGTTTAAGCCTGTAACAGAACAGAAGCCCAGTACACACAAACTGGTTTCAAAATGGTTGAGCCCAGTTTAAGATAGACCTGGATAGATGTAGTATCAGACTTAAAACTGTTAAGTTAAATCAGTCTGTTCTACTTCTGGCCCAGATCCCCTCCCAATTCAAGTTATATCCCAGTCCCCCAGCTTCCCAGAATGCATTGGGTCCCCCCTGCTAGCCCTTCCCCCCACCCCAAGAAGGGTAGGTGGGCTAGCTTTGGCTGTGCTGCCTGAGCTGGGGCCAGCCCCACCCTAGTGCCTCTACTCCCCATCCTGGTCCTGCCTACGCCTGTCAGCCCTGCAGGACAGTGCGAGGGAGGTGGGGGAACAGAGCCCCCAGGCTGGCCCTGAGCCCTGGTCTGCAAGGGTTGCCATCCCCCTCGCAGGACAGGCCAGCACAAGTCACTGACTCACTGGGGAGAGGGTGAAAGGAGTCCCTCCTCCCAGGGCCAGCCCCCAAGCTCAGCATCTGTCCACATGGGAGGGAGACCAATACCGGGGATTCCCCAAGCCCTGGTCTGCCCAGCTGTGGGGAGGAGAGGGCGATTCCCCCTCCACAAAGCCAGACCAGTGCAAATCACTAATATGGGATGGGGGGGGTAGAAATGAAGCCAGGAGGGGGGCTCTTTCCCCCATGGTGCAGGCTGGGAGGCATGCTCTAGCACCCCCTGCCTTCTGGCCTGGGTCAGTGCAAGCCTCTACCTGTCTTTCCTAATTGAAAACTGAATGTTAATTCAGTTTATTATTAGTTCAATCTATATACAACTTAGAGCAAACTGCAAAAACTTAATCACTTCTGCCTTGGGGCTTTTGATTGTCTGTACTTCGCTATGGATAGCGCCATCTCTTGCAATCCATTCCTGCATAAGCACACTACTACGTGAACTTGGTCAACTTACTATCTTCTTGAAACACAGGAATCTGATCTTAACAGCACAACCAGGTCTGTACCTCTCCCCACTCACTATAGGTACTAATAAGCATGAAATGCAGTGAACAGCCTGCCCTGAAACAGAAAAGGGTGATGATTATTTTGAACATAAGGAGATACTAAGTATGGGGCTGGAAGGGCTGCTAACTACTAGCATGCTCACACTCATTATGCACAGCTTTACATACATTGCTAATTCTGTACTTCCTGTTTGAGTGCAATTACTTTCATATTTTCCATGTATGACAACAAATCAAAAATCTTAGCTTTTCTTTTCTTTTTTTTGTTAAACTGATTTAAGGTAGTGTCAGGTACCAAACTAGTCCCAAGTGTCCCAGTTTTTGCAATCACATTTTTTTTCTTTTTCATGTGAAAAAGCAAAGCAAACAGGAGAAATTTGTCTTCACAGGGAGAAGAGTGAAACTGTACATAAGCGGAGGGAAGCATAGACAGTAAACAAGCATGGTGTCTCTTTTATATTCATGTTAGGTGTTTGTAAGTTCCTACTGTTACATGTCTTGTAGCTCCAGAGGTCTGTCTGAACAAATACAAACACTTGAGTGCCAAGTTTCCTTCTTATAGATATGCTTATGGAAGCAACAAATTCATGGTTGAGCCTTCACACCAAAACTGGTGAAGACTCCTTCCTTCCTCCCTCCCTCCCTCCACTAGTCCAGTAAAAAACAG